GCACTTCTGGCAGAGGACATGGGCTCAGTGCCCAAGGCAGAGTGTCTAGAAGAAGCCTGGTGAGACAGATTAAGACAGAGAGGGGGGGGTGGAATGGGGGAAGAAGGGAGGGAGGGGGGAAATGGAGAAGGAAGGGATGGGAAAGAAAAGAATGGAAAGGAAAAGAAAAAAAGAAGAAGTGCTAAATCCTAGCACTACTGCCTTTCTTTGGTCTGATTTTTTTTTTCCTCATTAAACTTTTGTTTTAATGGGTCTCAAAATTCTATGACAGATTTTTGGGCAAGATGTTTCCATTTAAAAGTACTGATTTTAAAAACTAATAACTTAAAACTGCCACACACACACACACAAAAGTGCAACCACGAAATCACGATGAATGGATGAATGGGGGTGCGGGTCATCGGCTTGGCTGTGGCAGTGAACTTAGGTATACAAAACAGGAGGCTTGTGTGAACTGACAAACTCGCCCACCGGCCCCAGACCTGACAAAAGTCCCCGGAAGTAGTCAGGAAACCAGAGCCTGCCACAAGCCACAGGGCTAGGGCCCCCGGCTTCTCAGCTACCACACGCTGAGCCTCTGTTCGCAGAGGCTTCTTGCAGGTGCACTGCTTCCTCAGAGCAGGCTCACGGGAACTAACCCTTCACCCCTGTTGCTGCTTCCTCACTTGTCTGTCTGAATCAGAAAAAGACACCCCTTGTCAGGACCCTGTATGCCCAGGCGCGGGAGAAGCTGCGTGCTCTGCTGCCCCCTGCTGGTAGTGTTGTACGATAACCTCTGCAGGCCCTGGAGGCTGCTGGGAGCCGTGCCTCCCAGATGTGCGGTGCCTCCCAGATGTGCGCCCACGCCCACCACCCCTCAGGGCTGCAAGTGCCCGCCGCCGGGTTCCCGACTAGAGAGGAGACAATTGTCTGGGACTGGTGTTGATAGAAGACCGTATTCCCCACCACGCCGGGAATGCACTCCCGCGGTCTTGCTTGCCGTCTCTAGTGAGCACAGGGCTGCCCCGTGTTCATTGACAAGATCCTGTGGTTTTTGAGCTGCTTTATCAGGGGAAGGTCAGAGATTAAAAGAGCAAGTGGCAAAAATACATGTGGGAAGATAAACCCCTGGAGACAAAATCATTCCAGATTTAGATCACAATTCTTCCACTTTTTACCTGAAATTCCGTTGCTCAGTGTAATTCTCCTTGTATCAGGGTTCATCACCCCACAACTGGACTCCATAGCTTTGAAGATCGTTATGTGACCCACCATGAATGCCCCCCACACATCACCTCCCCAGCTTCCAGGACCGACACACACCCTGAGTATTGTACATACTCTGTGGGAGGTGGTGCCCAAATGTCCTGGCTTGGAAACACAGGAAGCTGCGAAAGTGACAGCAAATAAAATAATCTTGCGACGATTCTCTGCACATATCCTAATTTCTCGAGAGGTGGACATTTCTTTGTCAACCTTGCAAGCAGCCAAAATGCAGCCCTTAGCCTGTCATGTTGACCCTATGATCTTTTTGGACTTAAGCTAAAGGCGAGTTTCTAGATGCCCGCATTTGGCTGTCAGCCGCCACCCTGGTTCAAAGACGGCGCTCCAGCTCACCGCCTAACTCCCCCTGCCCTCATCCCGCTGGGACATCTAACCGCTGCGTCCTTCAGGCCTCAGTCCCAGACTTTCAGTGAGCCCACGGTTGGCTAACATGGTTCCAGAAAGAACCAGACAAATATCTGGGGACTCGAAGGTCACGGTTTCTGTCTCAATGACTTGTTGCTGCCATTGTAGTGTGAAAGCAGCCGTAGACATTTGGAGTGAGGGAACAGGGGTGGCTATGCTCCAGGAAAACCCCAATTGTAACTCGGGGTAGTGCAGACCGCGAGCAGGTCGCAGGCAGTGTGCCCGGCCCGGAGCTAGCTCAAGTATTGGGAGCACTTTCCTTTTATTCACTCCTTACCCTTCTTTCCCGCACCCCCCCCCAAACTTACCTTGGGCTGCATGCAAAGGGAGTTTGCATATCCATCTGTCTTGAACCATCTCTTTCTGTAAATACACATACTTTTATTCTCTTGGAAAAGTATGGGAAAACATCAACAGATACTGAATACTGTGACTCCAGCCTGGTGGTGGGGGGTGGGGGGCGAACCAGACAGCATTTCCGCTCCCTAGGACTTCTTGATCTACTTGAGGAACATGTGTTTTTGTTTTTGTTTTTTTTAAAGATTTTATTTATTTGAGAGAGAGAGCACGAGCAGGGGAGAGGGGGAGAGGCGCAGAGGGAAAAGGAGAAGCAGACTGCTGAGCAGGGAGCCCGACCCGGGGCTCGATTTTAGGACCCTGGGATCAGGACCTGAGCTGAAGGCAGACGCTTAACCGACTGAGCCACCCAGGTGCCCCTACATGTAGCTTTTAATGACAGCACTCAGATACCACTTTTAATGGTAGGCCTAAGACACATCACAGCTTGGTTTCCACGGCGGGTCACATAAAGTGAGCGCCGCGGAGGCTCCTCTCAGACTCAGGCTTGAGGCTCTAGGTTCATGGACATTGCCATCCCATTGCCAAACAGAAGGGTGTTCGTTGACAGGCCGTTGGTGCTCTGGAGCTCCCACTCCGTCAGGACTGGTCTGAGTTCTGCCAGGATTCTCTTTCTGTTTTGCAGTACTGAGAGACAGAGACAGATACTTTTTCCACTTCACGTTCATAACCACCCTGCCAGACAAATACATACCGAGCACGCACAGAGACTGTCCTGGGAGCTGGGTGTACAGCCGGGAACCCAAAAAGCCCGAGTCCCTGCCCTCTCCAAAACGGGCCCGTTCCGAGGCGAGCCTTTGAGGGCTAACATGACTTGCTGTAGTGACAAAACTAGCGGGGGGCCTCCAGGCCAGGCTTGTCACCAGCTCTGCCCTTTGCCGCTTCTCGTCGACTCTCGTGACAGGTACCCGCAAGATGGAGTACCAGGACAGCAGCTGGCACGAGACCTGCTTCATCTGCCGCCGCTGCCAGCAGCCCATCGGCACCAGGAGCTTCATCCCGAAAGACAGCCAGAACTTCTGCGTGCCCTGCTATGAGAAGCAGTACGCCGTGCAGTGTGTTCAGTGTCAGAAGGTAGCTCTCATCCCCCCGTGGACCTTGTCCGTCCCAGTCCGTTTGCCTCCACAGCCCTTGGCTCCAGCCCTCCTTCCCCCAAGGGACGGCACCTGTCATACCTGAAGCGCACAGGAGTCTGCCGGGCTGGCCCTCCACCCCCAAATTCTCACGTGTGCGTGCGCATTTATCCACTGGACGGACCCCCCGCGCCACGCCTTCCTCCCACAACACGAGCGCCCCTGTGACCAGACATAAAATCCTGCGTCCCTCCCTCCTTCTAGAACATGGCCAAATATTTGCTCCTGTTTATGACATAACGTTAAAGGGGAGGGAAGCTTATACCCCAAAGCGGTCCTGTTACACTGCACTCCATCTTTGAACAGGAAACCTCACGGGAGGGAGGGAGGGGTGAGGGAGGTGAGAAGCGAAGGCAAGTTGTGCCCCGTGGACAGGGCCCAGGTCGCTAGTTGCGCACTTGCCCACTGGGTCCGGTGCCGTCCTGTCTCGGCCGTTGGGTTAAAGAGGGAGAAGGAACCCGTTGTAGAGTGACTGCGCACCCTGTTTGGCTCGGGCCCTATTAGGGACTCCGCTGTTGGGTCTGTGGGGGCCAGCAGGGCCTCCGGTGCCCATCCTGCCGGCACCTCTTCAAAAGGCAGAGTAGTACTAACTAGGATTTAAATTCCACTTCTCCCAATTCCCGCTGGTAAGATTATACTGTTTATCTACTGCGTATCCCTGCCTCCTTGGATGAACCGCTCATTCCTGCGTTCGTATCAGGAAGCCTCTTCTCTGCTCACTTCCGCTCTGTTTGGTTTGCTCCTTCTCAAGATCCAAGAAAAGTTTGCGTCATTTGCTTTTCTTCCACTATGTTCCTCCCTACCTTATCATCACTCTGTTTGCTTGCGGGTGAAGGTAACGCATCCTCTGGGAAGCCCTTGTGTGTGTTCATCGGACACATGAAAGCATTCATGCCAGAAACATCCATTCCCCCCTGCCACATTGAAGGAGGCCCTCAGGGCTACTAGGGTCTGGGGGGGAAACGCACTCCAATGGCAACATTCAAGTGCTTATCCATAAGTGTGCTTTGGAGGAGAACAGGGCCTTAGCAGAGTGTATACGGGGATGATCTGAACCAATCTGAGGAGTGGGAGCCAGGCTGCTGTTTAGGGAGGGATGCTCTGAGAAAGTACCACCCAGGGACACGTCTGAGCTAGCCGGGTGATGGGGGTGGGGATGGGGGACATGGAGTCCAGACGCAGGGAGGACAAGGGCGTGTATGCCAGGCAGAGCAAAGCTCTTACTACGCACGCCTTCTGTATCCACACAGATAGCTTGCGACTGAATATATGTCACATGCATTCTGTTCCAAGGGGGAAATTTATAGGACGATCATTAATGCTTTATAGTTTAGTGAAAAGAATATACAATAGAAAGAGTCCTGAACCCCGGCACCTGCTTTGCTTTTAGCTATGAATTCTTAGGCAAGTCCCTTCATTTCTCTGGGTCTCAGTTTACTCACCTGTAAAATGGAAATAAGGTCTATATTATCTAAGGGCCTTTACACGGTTGACCCTTGAACAACATGGGGGCTAGAGGGTACTAACCCCACTGCACAGCTGAAAATCCACGTGGAACTTTGGACTCCCCAAAAACGTACCCACGAAGAGCCGCCTGTTGAGCAGAAGCCTCGCTGATGGCATAAATAATCGATGTGCACGTACGTGGTAGGTTCTCTGTATCCTGTGCTGCCGTCTTACAATAAAGGAAGCTAGAGCAAAGAAAACGTGAGTCGGGAAATCCTAAGAGAAAACGCACTGACCGTACCAGGCTGTGTTTATGGGAAGCAGTGCGCGCAGACGCGGACCCGCGCCCTGCAAACCGGCGCCGCTGGTGGCCGGGCGCGCTGCCCTCTGTGAGGACCAGAGGCGCCCAGGCCCTTTCTCCGAGCCTTTTCCATGCGCGGCGGCGGGGGCCGGAGGGGGTCTCACGCCATGCAGAGCCCGCCGCGCCTCGGGATGCTCACCGCGGCCCCCTTGCCTCCTGCAGCCCATCACCACCGGCGGCGTCACGTACCGCGAGCAGCCGTGGCACCAGGAGTGCTTCGTGTGCACCGCCTGCAAGAAGCCGCTGTCGGGCCAGCGCTTCACGTCCCGGGAGGAGTTCGCCTACTGCCTGAGCTGCTTCTGCAACCTGTATGCCAAGAAGTGTGCCGGCTGCACCAACCCCATCAGCGGTGAGCGTGCCCATGGTTCCCAGCTCTTGCTTTTGGCTCTTGGGTTTGGGGGTCTCATGGTGGTGAGATCCAGCCCCGTGTGGGGCGCCACCCTCAGTGTGGAGCCAGCTTGAGAGTCCCTCTCTCTCTCTCCAAATGAACAAATCTTTGAAAAAAAGAATAATAAAGGTGCTCCCTAGCATCTTAGAGGGACTTGCTGACCACAAGGCCATAGCTACACGAGGGCAGAGGGCAACATTCTAGGTGGTTCTTTCTTATCCCCCAAAGGCGCGGGCGGAGTGAGAGCCCAAAGTCTGGTTGGCTGCAGACTGGCATTGTACAAAACTATTAGACATGCCAAGAAACTGAGTATGGAGGACAGATGGCTGCTCAGACTCCAGGCCTGTAAACGTGCACCACGCATCACCACACAAATCCGTGACTGGGCCGGAGGGAAAAGAGAGTTCCGTAAGGACACAGGCAAAGTAGCGGGACGTGGGATTCCCAGCTCTGCCACATTCAGGTGACTGGCTGGTCCCTGTCAATGGCAGATGGCGGACCCATGTAATAGCCAAATGGCGTCCCCGTGCAGCACTGCAGTGTAAGCACACACGCATTCTACAACCGCTGTGTGCTTGCCCTGACTCACTTTTTCCTCGGGTCTAGAACTGGGTGCACCTCCCTCAGCCAACTCGCCCAATGTAGGAAGCCCCAGGTCACCAAAATCATCCTTTCATGTGTAATCCAGAGCTCATAATTCCATATGAAATTAAAATATAAAGAAAAGAAGCACAGCATTTAAATTTTTGTTAACCCGATTCCAGCCATTTATATACCAGATTGGAATCATTCGGAGGGAAGAAATGCAGTCTTTTCCCCTAACATATCAATCTTGAATGCTGTTTTCACGGTAACGTCTATGGAAGTAAATGTTTATAATGTTAAACTTTATAAAGCAATATAATCTAGATAAAAGCACTTTTAAATGTAAAGTATCAGAAATGTGTTGTTATTCCCATGGTAGCACTAAAAAAAAGAACACAAGATGAGGAAAACAGTGGACACTTTCCTCCAAAAGAGGAGAGTTACTTCTCTGAAACACAGAGACTAATGTTCTGGAACGTACAGAGGAATTTTGAAATTGCAGCTAAAATGTACTTGTAGCCAAATCCCCAAACAATTACATGAGATTGTGACTTTAGATTGGATTTTTAATAGATCCTTACTTAGCACTTTCCCTTTAGCAAAATTTAAATGATTTTTGTAAATGAATCTGAAGTTCTACTTCCCAGCATTCTGTGTGCAGTGATGCAAAATTCACACATAAATACAGTCAGTCCTCCGTACTCAGAGTTCAGATCTGCAAATCCGTCCACTCATTAACATTTATTTGTAACTCCAAAATCAACACTCAAGTTGCTTCCATGGTCATTCCCAGACAACTCACAGATTGGTGAAACATTTGAGTCGTCTGATGTGTGTGCTCCCAGCAGAGGTGAGGCAGGGGGACCCTCTGCCTCCTCATTTCAGTTCTCATCTTATAACCAAGGGTCCTCTTCATGGTCTGTTTAGTGCCATGTTGTTTGCATTTTTGTGCTTTTTGTTGGCAGTTTTGCTGCTGAAAATGGCTCTCAGGGGGCAGTACGGATATGCTGTCTGTGTTCCTAAGCAGAGGCAGGCTGTGAGATGCCTCCCGGAGTAAATGCACCTGTTAGATGAGCTCTGTTCAAGCTGGAGTTCTGGGGCTGTTGGCTGTAAACCTCAAATAACAATAGTTGACTGTGTATGCCTCTCACCTTTGGGAGGATTTGTCCTCCTTGGGCTGTTTTTGGCTCCCATTTCTGTGACTTGCCCCATTGGTTGGCATTTCAAGGAAACAGTGAGTGCCTAAAAGGAGGCGGTCCCCTGGGACGGCACCCGACATAGCACCTCCCACTAACATCCTTCATCCTCTTCCGGCCGCAGGTCTCCAATGTAGCAGGACTTACCAGAGGTGAGGGAAAGGAGAAACATGGAATGGCAGAAATGCTCGGGCATCCCAGCCGCTTCTCAGCTTTTCAGTTTGCTCAGTGCTGAGAAGAAAAACAACTACCTTTTTTGCAGTCCCTGCCCCTAAATCAAGTGTTGCCTAAACCTCTGGTTTTCAAACTTGGCTACATATTCAAAACACCTAGGAAGCTTAAAAAAATTACTGCTGCCTGGGTCACGATTTAATTGGTAGGGGCTACGACCAGGGTGACTGATGAAGCTTGAAAAGCTTCCCAGGTGATTCAAGTCTGCAGGGAAGTTTGAGACCCACGGGCCTAAATCATTGGCTTGGTGCTGCCTCACGGCCAGCACAGGAGCTATGTGATCACAGCCCTTAGGAGTCCGGGATGTGTAAAGACAGTGTTTTAGTAGCGTTGGACATTCGGTGTAGCTCTGCTTTTAAAGCTGTGGGATATTCAGGAAAAGAGGCCGAAAAGCTCTGCCAGTGCGTACCCCACCTGCCGCAGGGCTAAGGTGGCGCTGGAAGGAGCACTGAACTTGCACTGCTCCACTCTCTAACTAGCTGAGGGGGACTAGCTCGCAGGTCTCCCCCAGGTGAAAGACAAGGCCCCACGTCAGCCTAGCCAATTCCGTTACACAAGGATCTAGCTATTTGGTGCGTTACAGACTACTCAGGCTAGCCTGAGACTTCAAGCCATTATAAACGGAGCGGTCAGTATGGTTGCTTTCTTTTTAAGAACCATTATTCTGGAAAGAACTCTTTGTAATTGGAATTCATGATCCAGATTTCATCAGAACCGATCACAACTCTGAATAACCCTGTGTATTCAGTTCCAGTTGATTTCTGATGGCTCAGTGGCAGGACCAAGCAACCATATTGTTATAGGAGGCCAGTGTACCTTAAACATTTGATGAGAATTAGTCATCAGGCAAGAGTCAAGCACCGAACTGAGTTACGACTTTTCTTGTTTAAAATCTGAGATGGTCTTCTCTACTGCCCACACACCGTCATGCGCTCCCACCCACCTTAGCAGCCCACCTTCCCCTCTCACACCTAAGTCCATGCTTCTATAGCTTATCACATGATCTTCGTTCTCAAGAATGTCCATGCCCCACATCCACAGGCCATTTCGTTTGTGAGGCCTTTCCTGGCCATTCCAGAGCAAATTAGTGTTTTCCTCTTCCCTCCCTTCAGCACCTCATTGATTAGATCACAAAACACTTGAGCAGCAGACATGAGGCAGCCAGTGAAGGAATGAGAAGTCAGCTCCATATCTCCTGGAGTTTCATTCTCGTGGAACAGACAAATAGACACCATCACCCCTCCATAATTATAGCACTGATCATGTCGTTTCGGACCCAGTTTATATAGCTGTCCCTGCTGACCCTTACGAGCTCTTCAGGGGTGTGCAGGGTGTCTGATTTACAGGTGGATCGCCAGCACCCAGCCATTAGAAACTCACGCTCTCCAGACTACACAATCCAGCTTTGAAATGGCTCAAAGCAGAATTCCTTCGTTGGTCCTGGGGGCCTGGTTCTACCCAGCAATGTTGCCTTTCTCCCTCCACCCCGGTGTTCTTTCTTCTCTGTTAATAGGACTTGGTGGCACGAAGTACATCTCCTTTGAGGAACGGCAGTGGCACAACGACTGTTTTAACTGTAAGAAGTGCTCCCTCTCACTGGTGGGGCGAGGCTTCCTCACAGAAAGAGATGACATCCTGTGCCCTGACTGCGGGAAAGACATCTGAAGCCCACACAGCTGCTTGTGACGCGCACGGATTTAGACACACTCATTCTCCACCAGGCAGTACTGTGTCTGGTCTCCACCCGCCACGTTGAGACTTTCCTCTTGTGCTTCTCAGTGATAGTCACGTTTGTTTAAAACCTTTAATCCTTTGTACTAGCTCAGTCCCAGGGAAGGAGGAAACCCTTCTGTAAACCCTTCCTCGGTAGGAAGATGGTGTTGAATTTTTGTAATCAAGCAAGGCAAATCCAAGTGTAAAAATCCTTTTGAATGACATCTTTATACATGTATCTTTCTTTCACTGCGTATTTAATTTTTAAGTGCAATTAACATGTCACGAACTTGAGTTTTCCAAACTACATGAGATAATGAAGAGTGGGCATTTACAACTGTGTAGCTTCCTGTCATGTAAGACCTAGAGCAAGATCATATAGCTTACAATAAAGTTATCCAGAACAAAATCCTTGGCCACACACAGTGCGTGAAATAATGATTAAACACTGAAATTCTGAGCATGGTGGTATAAAGCACTTTATTGTATGTTCCACTGATCACTGTATGAAGTGCAAGTTCAGACGGGCTGGGGCAGCGTTCATGGAGATCCATCACACCTTTCATTTCAAAGAAAGCCTTCAGTCAGCACCACAACCTCTTCCTGGCTCCCTTCTCTTTGTTCCTCTCTCCCAAACTCTCTTTCTCTCAGATTTTAATGCTCTGCATTGGATGCAGTAACAGAAACTCTAGAGTAAGAGCAGCAGAATATGAACTAGTAACAGTGAAAGCAGTTTGGGGGTCACTTTTCTTAACAGAGCTCGGTGCTTTCCCATTGCCACGGGTCCCTATCCTACCCTGACCTGCTTTCTCATCCATAAAGTGAAGGATCACAAAAGGATACAAGCACCTCGAGCCTAGAGATGACCTCTTGCTCATCTGTGTATTCCTGATACCCTAGCAGTTTAGGGCATGCTTTGGAAGCCTTCAGTGTTTCTGAAAGGAGAGGAGAGAGAGAGACTCCCAGCTATAAAGATCTGAGCTCCTAGTTTGGCATTTGTCTGTAAAACCATCCGTGAAAGGGGCGCCTGGGTGGCTCAGTCGTTAAGCGTCTGCCTTCGGCTCAGGTCATGATCCCAGGCTCCTGGGATCGAGTCCCACATCGGGTTCCCTCCTCGGCGGGAAGCCTGCTCTCCCTCTCCCACTCCCGCTGCTTGTGTTCCTGCTCTCGCTATCTCTGTCTCTGTCAAATAAATAAATAAAATCTTTAAAAAAAAAAACCACAAAAAACCATCCATGAAAGCACGGTATACAATTGGAAAGCACTGCCCAATTTATGAGCTAGGGCATTGCATATTTCCCTTTTAAGAATGCTAACAGTAGTGACTTTTGTCCTTAGTTTTCTAAGACAGTGCAGTAACCATAAAACAATAGGCCGTGCAACAGAAAAATCTGGTGGAAATCAGGTCCCAGCCATGCTGAGCATGTGTGAAGGCAGTTTCCTCATCTGAGTGCTGGACCACGTGAGAAGTGTCTGACGATGTCTGAGACAGGCCTTCAGAGAACTCCATGGCTCAGTAGTTGTCTTGCCTTCTCCTACGTCATGTTTTAGTGAAAGCATTCTTGCAGGTGTGCTTTTTAAAGTGAAAATAACAAAATTCAAAACAAAAAGGTAAAAGCTTTGGAAATGTCATTGTGGAACACCTTACCTGTTCCTTATTAGAACCACAGACACACCGGACGCACCTGACCTTAAATTAATGGAAGGGGGGAGTTCCACTTCCAGTAAGTAGCTCCTATTGGACTCCAGTAATCTTCTGGACAAAATATTTTTAAGACTTGAAAACACTGGGGCATGATCCAAGGCAGGAATAGTTGGGAGGGGAGTGGACACTTGAAGAAGGAAATGGCAATGGGTAGGTTTCCCATTTTTATGGCTTTTACCCAAGGCCAGGCCCAAAAGGGGAGCTAAAACTCCATTAGAAAATCTGCAGTCTTAAATGGCTTGAAGAACCAGAGGACAGAGCTTGGGACAAACAACATCTGGAAAGTTAAAAGGGAAAATGGTATGAAAAAGAACCCCAAGTTCTTTGTATGAAGACCCTATCCATCTCTGTCTGACAAGTGAACCACACATGCAGAGGCTAGACCCCAAGCAGCCCAGCCAAGGCTCAAAGAACCAAGTGTGGCGGGGGGGAACTGCAGGATGGTGGTGTGCAGAGCTCAGTGATTGTCTTCCCAGTGTGACAACCATTTAACTGGGAAAATTGCGTGTGTGCGTGTAACACATACCAAATAAATACCTTCAAATCTTAGAAAATTATCCTAAAGGTGTGCGGCAAATGGAGAAACATTCAGGAAAATCTACATGTTAATAAGAAGAGTGAGAGTCTATGGCACTTGAGCCATGGACTGATCCACCCCACCCCCACCCCCAGTTTCACGTGACAGAAGCTCTACTCTAAGAAGGTAAGGGCTCCTACTGGTCTAGGGCTGTGCCCCAGGCATGACAGTCTGAAAATCCTGGGGCTCTGATCACTCCTGTTGCAGCCTGCCCATAGGGTGGAGGCTCCACATTAAAAGGGGAAATCTGAGAAGACCAGAGGCTACCATGCTCCTAGGAATAGGACTGTGTGAAGACATTTATTAGGATGATGTTGGCACATTCTGCTAAGAAGAATACCAGCCTTCCCTATCCAGCACTTACTCGTAGAGAAGTGTTGCTCCAGGAGAAGCAAGACGCTGTCCAGACCCAAGGTGTGGGTGGGAGTGGCGGCTCCGAGAACTAGTAGCTCAGCAGCTCTGCAGGAAGGGACTATTTGGTACCAAGAATGGAGGAATCTGTGCCTAGGCAGATTATCAAAAACAATGGAGATTTTGGTGGCAAGCAGTTGAGAGGGGGCTGCTAGCTATGTGATACGTGCAGCAAAAGGCAAAAATGGCACACCAGCCAGAAGTTTAACAGAGAGCCAGAGAAAGAGACAGCTAGGAAGAGCCCTCCTGGGATCCCATTTATCACTGGGGGTCGAGGAGACTGTGGGCATGGACTGGGTCACACCCACTCAGGAGCAAAGAGAGTGGGACATGGAGTGGATTCGAAAGCATTCTCTACGCCACACACAGATCATCAGCAAAGAGCAGAAGTCTCATTAGCTCAAAGTGCTTAAGCAGACCCTCTAACCAAACACTGGCCAAACATATAAACATGTTCAAAGAATTAGAGGAACATGTATGATAGCAATGCTCACCAAACAGAGAACATCAATAAAGAGATAAGTGCTATAAAAATATCAAATGGAAATTGTGGAATTGAAAAGTATAATCACCAAAATGGAAAATTCACTGGAGGGGATCATACATTTGAGTTGAGAGAAGAAGAAAAAAAAAAAATCCGTGAACTTGAATATAGACCAACAGAAATTGTGAAATTTGAAAAACAGGAAAAATGAAGAAAAATTAACCTCAGAGCAATGTGAGATAGCCTTACGTGAACCAACATATGTATAATGAATAGGAGCATCAGGAGGAGAGAGAAAAGGGACAGAAAAAATACTTGAAGAATGGCTGAAAACTTCCCCAAATTTGATGAAAAATTTTAATCTAAAAACACATCCAAGGGGCACCTGGATGGCTCAGTCGGTTAAGCAACTGCCTTCAGCTCGGGTCATGATCCCAGGGTCCTGGGATTGAGGCCCGCTCAACGGAACCCGCTTTTCCCTCTCCCTTTGCCCAGCCCCCGCTCGTGCCCACTTGCACTCTCTAATAAATAAATAAAATCTTAAAAAAAAAACAAAAAAACACATCCAAGAACCTGGACAGACTTGGAGGAGAGAGTTTGAAGTTTGAGTCCAACCACACACAAAATCTGGGTCTGTCTCCAGCCCCGCCCTACTCAGCTATCAGCTGGGAATCAGGACACTGCAGGTATTTCTGACTGGCTCTATAATCCTTTTTATTAAGCAAGACTTGATATTAAATCGTGAAATAAAATGTTCATAGAGGTGCATAATACAGGAGTTAGCAGGTAAAACCAAACTACAGAGACAGAAGTCAGAATAGTGGTAACCTCTGACTGGGAAGGGACATGAGAGAAGCTTCTGGAATGCTGGAAATGTTCTGTATTATGGTTGGCAAACTATGGTCCATGGCTAAATTCTGCCCACCGCCTGTTTTCTTAAACAATGTTTTATTGGAACACAGCCATGCCTATTCATTTATACATCATGTGGTTTTTCCAGCAGAATTGTTCCTTACATTTTAAAAAGGCAGAGCCAGCTTTTTTCTCTAACTATAAACATTGTTAATTCCTCTTTTGTCACATAGTCTACAAAATCTAGATTTACGTTGATTTTAGCTCCGATTTTAGTACCTTGGAGCTTTGATTTAAAAATGCATAACCAAAAAAAAAAAATGCATAACCATCTTGTAGAACAAATTATATATTTATTAGAATTATATACTTAAACTTCACAGTAACATTTAATAGTTAGCATACTGTAAAACTCTTAATAAACTAGTCTACCTTCAACCCAAACCATAAAAATCCAGTCACTGAAGTAATTGAAAGCAAAAAGTTTTCCTTATGAGGCAGTCACCTGTTGGGGAAAGTCGTCAGAAAGAAGTGACTGCCAGTTGACACATGAGCCGGACCCAGGCGCTCGGTGGCTCCTCACTCCCTCCCCTGTCCACAGCATGTGGGAATGTAGCTTGCCTTCCTGATCCTGGAGGCTGCTCCAAGGACACAGCCTTGAGACAGTGATGTCGTGTTGAGAACACCTGCACAGTATATGTGAATGAACCCAGTTAAGGCCGCTTTATGAACTTTTTTTTTTTTTTTTTTAAAGATTTTATTTATTTATTTGAGAGAGAGCGAATGAAAGACAGAGAGCATGAGAGGGAGGAGGGTCAGAGGGAGAAGCAGACTCCCCGCCGAGCAGGGAGCCCGACGCGGGACTCGATCCCGGGACTCCAGGATCATGACCTGAGCCGAAGGCAGTCGCCCAACCAACTGAGCCACCCAGGCGCCCCCGCTTTATGAACTTTTAAGATTTAGAGGGCAGGTACGGGGATCCATTCGTCTTGCTGCCGCCCAAGATAAGCCTCATGTGTAAGCTCCCTCTGCTTATTAAAACTGCCACCTACCCACCTCGAGGGGCCTGTCTCTCTCTTTTCAGTCTGCCCCAGCCCTCCTAAGGGGTACGGTTTCAGATGACACCTGGGAAGCTCCCACTCACATCGCCTTGCATGGACCTGGAACATAGCAAACAGCTCAGTAAATGTACCTGCTCTGATACCAGGAGCCCCGGAACTAGGCCGATGACTACGGTCTCAATACTGTCCTTAGTATCAGCTTTCTCTCTGTCAAAACTTCAAAGAAGTGTCTGCAAAAGACCTCAGCACTGTTGGTGAAGCAGAGCCCGAGAGACTTGGGAGCAGAGAAAGCGATGTCATCAACACAGGTGAAGCTAGAGTACATTTAGAACATATCACTGACTGGCCACAAACGGACACAACTCAATCT